GAGGTGACCCAAAAACATCATCAAACACTTCATTCCCAGCCTGCTTTTCTGGAGTCTGTAACCCCACCTCCTTGTAAGGGGAGGGAAATCTCACCGGAGAAGAGTCTTTCTGAGGAGTTACTTGTGCTAAATGATCCCTCTTCCTTTCATTAGGCTCAGGTGGTTGCTTCTCCTGTCTGGAAGGAGAGAAGTACCTTCCCAAACATTTAGCTGCAGTCTGCTTAGCAGCTGGACTTTTGCCAGGGGTCTTCTCCAATGTTTTTGGTGTTCTGTGTGGAGTACGAGGGGATTTCCTTGGCATTCTACTGGCAGAGCTCCGGGGCTTCTGGGGAGTCTGAGGAAAGAGTAAGAACAGAACATGCTTAATACTAGTATGTAATGGCATCTTAACATTCATTTCTGGCGATAAAAACATAGAAGCTGTTTGACTAGAGACGCACAATTTAAGTCACACACAAACAGAAGTAGCTATTTAAAGATGCACAAGTCTGACTAAGTACGTGTATGCAGTGTAGCTGTAGCCATGTCGGTCCCAGGCTATTAGAGAGACAAGATGCGTGAAGCAATCTCTTTTATTGGACCAACTTCTGTTGGTGAGACAAGCTTTCGAGCTACACTGAGTCTTGTCTCTCTCACCAAAGAGAAGCTGGCCCAGTAAAAGCTATTTCCTCACCCACCTTGTCTCTCTAAGTACATACAAGCAGAGGGGGAGAGTGTGGGAAGATGTTTTACCTGATAGGCAATTGGTTCCTCCAAGTCTGAGCTGTTTCTTGTTTTCCTTGTTCCAAGTGACTCCTTCACTTTAGGGCTGCTCCCTTCAAGAACTGCTCCAAAGAGAAGCCTCTTGGGAGACTGGATAGTTGGGTTATCAGGATACTGTGGAATGCCTTCAAAAAGCATAGTGCAGTTAGATTGGCACCAAGCATTGACATGTGATGGGCACAGTTGTTCCTGGCACTCAGATGGTCAGAGACAATTAAAGGGCTACAGTATTGGCACCATTTGCTCTTTGCTGGCTACCCAAAGTTTCACATCCTGAGCTAAGTATTACTGTTTTTTGTACTATCCCAGGAAAATAACTAACACTAAACAGCTGTTACTAATAGATGAACATACACATGTGGAAAAAGTCCTCAAGGACAAAGCTGTTCGGATGAATGGCACAATTAAGTCCTGAACTTCTCCATGGAATCAGTTTATAATCCTTCTGAAGAAGGAAATCTGGAAGAGTCCATCAAGCACTGCATTATGCTCCCACATAGAAGACCTGGGTTTAGCAGCAGCTTTAGGACTCCTGCTGCTGACAGGGTCATGTTACATTTAATGGGTAAGGCGGTTTATTGGTTTGGGTCTGATTGTTTCTTGGCTGGCTGAGTAATAAGACCTTCCTTTTCTCATAGGAGAATGGAACTACAGTGGTTCCTAACACAGAGATTCCCATTACAAAAATGCTATATTCTGATGGCTATAATGGATGCTATCTGGCAGGTCTCACCACAACAGATGCCTCAGAACCCTTAAGAGTTCTGTCTGTAGTGCCAATCAGCAAATGCTTCTGCACCGGAATCTGGCAGCTAGATTACCAATGGCAGTTAATGCCAGGTAAGTAAGTGTGATCGCCAACCCCAGTACCTGTTATGTCCTGCTTAACACATGTCACTTCTCGCTGTACCAAGTGTACTCGTTGCATATTCCGTGAGCTGGGCTGTGCAGTGGAGTAGAAAGAGCCTGAGTGTGTCCTATTCAGCGACAGCTGCTTGATGCGCGGACTTCTTCTTAAACCCACTTCTGGAAGTCAAGAGTAATACTATCAGGGCCTTCTCTCTCAAAAACACACACCACTTCCCAAAGGAAGCTACAGCTGGCAGACAAGTGTCTCTGGAAGGGATCTCTCTGCAGCTGTCCAACAATGATTTGTTCACTAACACTGTCTCAGGCAGGGAAGGGGCTAGTTTGTGGAACATTTGACAAAATCAGAAGATGAAAAGGGTTAAAAGGAAACCCAACTCCCCAACTTCAGTGGGAACTTCTAATACGACAACATGTGCTTCCTTCCAGTCCAAACTTCTTCATAGCAAAGACCCCACCCACCCCATCTAAACAGGTGCCTCTAGGCCACGTCTCCTCCCATTCATAATCATTCAACATTCTGTGGCAACTACAACAGTTGTTTATAGAGAAAAGTAATATTAGGAAAATGTGTTTTTGGCTTCTTTGGATAGTAAGAGTTTTGTTTTTTGACTAGTTAATCCCACTGTTGGTTTTTGCTCTTCATTTCATCTCACCCCAAAACCACCGTGCTGTTCTGTTCCTTAGCTGGGGGCAAGACACTGCAGCTGGTACCACATGGTCACTTAACACTCTGTAGAACCTCAAACACTATGCTGTAGTATATTAGAGGAGAGAAACGAGGAAGTCCCAGCACAAGGCTAGGAGGTACTGTCTTTTAAATACCGCTTCAGAGGTCCCAAAGCACTCCTGGCAAAAGTTGAGATGTTCATAGTTGTGATATGGCCAGTTTGGAGAATTATGTTCTGCCTCCCTAAAGTTCTCATTTTTCTTAAAAGCTCTGTATAGTTCACTGTTGCCTTCCACTCCAGGGGTGGTTGCAATGTTCTCTATATATTGTAGTTTAGGGTCCTTGGGGATCATCCAGACTGAAGTGTGCTATCTTAGTATGAACTGCAGCAAGGTTAAAAAAAGGAAAGTGATCAGTATGTATTAAATTAATACCTACCACTCATGGCTTTCTCTGGAGATTCTTCCACAATACTGATGTCAGAGCCAGGATCAGAACACCTTGGAGAAACAGTGAAAATGTTTCAGACTCCCCATAACACCATGCCTGGTTTGTGAGTAAACTAAACATTTGTTTTTCAGAGCTGCAGAGAGCACCATTTGCTAACAAGGCCACATCAACAAGTTGCAGGGTAGTCTCAATGTATGATTAGTAGGCATTGCCTCCCATCAAGAGATCAATCTGGCCACAGGATGTCCTTCCAGCTGTGGCACAAACACGTAACAGACAGGAGAACAGGCCCAACTTCGGCTGAGATTTCCCCTGGTTCTCATTAATAACACTCTGTATAAAACACCACCAAACCAGCCTTTGTAGGGGAACCCTAAGAAGTGGCACCCAACTTTGCCTGAGGAGCACAATGGCAACTTGATGCAAGCATGAGAGATGCACTTAATATGCACGATGAAGCAAGTGGTGGTTGTCCTCACTTAAATGCTGGGACCTGTAGTCTCCACAAGTTGTCTTGCTGTATCCACACTGCTAAATTCCATAGTACTTGTTTGGTCTGCAGTCCACATCCTGGCCACCCAGCACTAGGTTAAAAACATTTCAGAACTACCAAATACCATTCACTCACCGGCCTTTGATTTGTTTATGAAGCAGCCTCCTGGAGATCTGTTTGTGCAGCGGCGTCTCTGAGACTCTCTTGGTCAGTAGCTTGCGATGATCTGAAACTGATGAAGCCGCAATCAGACATTTAAAACAAGCCTGTGAGGTGGCTTGGATAGGATTGAGCCAGCAGTGTGAAGATTTTAGAGACTTACAGATCACATCTACATATTATTTAGTCTCTATTCAGGGCAGGTGGGCAATTGTACACTTCAGTTTGAACCATTAAAACAACAGCCACGCTACTCTCATGGTTCACCTCACATACAATATAAATTTTACAGTTAAAGGGGAGTTTTATATATAAAATCTTGCAACCAGCAGGGCACACAGTCCATTCACATAACTTTTATGTTATATCCCTTTGTTCCCTCATTTATTAGACCTAATTTAAGTCCTTATCTTGCAAATAGCCCCAATAACTACTTAAGTTGTTAGCTGTTTGGGGAAGGAACCTTGTCTTCCCATAGATCTGTAATGCACCAGTACACCTATAGTGCTATAGAAATAATAGGTAGCATTAATGTAAAAGGAGTCTGGTTTGTGCTTAACTTTAGTTGTATAATTATGGGACTTAATAGTATAGAAATACAGACACATTGGACTTCAGGGGCTAACCCTGCTATCTATTGAATTGAGTTTAGGGACAGATGCATGCACAGTACCCTCACAGACATCCACATTTTAACTGTCTATACAAGGATTCGACCATCTCTCATTTTTCTTGTGCCAAAGCAGCCAGACACATGAAAAAAGATTAAAAGATCAAATCTGCCTTCAAGACAGGACTGTCAGTTATTTGCACAGATTCCATCCCTTTTATAGAGGCGTGAAGTCAGTGAAAGTTGAATGTGATGTCTGAGAGTTAAGGTACGCTAAAGCATCTCTTAAAGGAAACATCCATGTAAGCAGTGTTTCCCAAACTTGGGACGTCGCTTGTGTAGGGAAAGCCCCTGGTGGGCCAGTTTGTTTACCTGCCGCGTCCGCAGGTTCGGCCAATCGCGGCTCCCACTGGCTGCGGTTCGCTGCTCCAGGCCAATGGGAGCTGCGGTAAGCGGTGGCCAGTATGTCCCTCGGCCTGCGCCACTTCCAGCAGCTCCCATTGGCCTGGAGCAGCGAGCCGCGGCCGGTGAGAGCCGCGATCGGCCGAACATGAGGACGTGGCAGGTAAACAAACCGGCCCACCAGGGGCTTTCCCTACACAAGTGGCGTCCCAAGTTTGGGAAACACTGCATGTAAGGGTTTGTGTGGATAGGTGTTCACTTCAAGCAATCTTAACTGATTAACAGTTTCTTTCTTTGTGAGAAGATATTTAACTTATAGATGAAAACAGGTTTGGATTTAAATATTACCCTGCACCATTTGCAACCCAAACACTGCAGCATTGAGCTAAAAACACCATCTCCTTCATAACAGGAAGCAAATTCATTTTACTAGTAACAAGAGATGCCAGAATTTTTTTGGGGGGGAAGAGAGTTAGGGGATCGGGGGGGAAGTAAATGCAAGATTCTCTTGCAGATCCCAGACATAGGCAATTGCGTAAGCTCATATCCCACCTCTACCATCCTCATCAGAGCAGCTGCGTTTGTGTCTCAGGCCTTCCACAGCCGATACTGACTGGCTTCGAGGCATCTTCTTCAGGGACCTTTTTGATGGAGAAAGCATCTCTTCATTGAAGAGGTTCCGTCGCACCTTTGTCACCTCTGAAAGCACGAGAAAGAGCAAAAAGTGAGTAGCTATACCACAAAGGTAATTCTCTCATGGGGCACTGGAGGTAGGAAGAATGTAAACAGACCCAACACTGATGAAAGCAAATAAAACTTTTCAAAGGTGTGAAAAAGCCAAATAACTGAAGAGGTAGTTTGTACTGGT